GCCCAGTCGAGGAACTCCTTCACTAAGGTGGAATGCGGGTCCAAAAGCAATTACAAGGCTCAGAATGCGAAATTTTCTTGTGAAGCACAAATGTTCCCGATCAGAAGTTTCGCCCGCATGGAGAAAAAAAAGACTTGACAAGTGTGATATCTGCACGACAAAGCGCACAGGTATGATCCTACAGAAATTTCATAATATCAAACAAGCTGGACAAAACTACCGTAGCAACACAACGCCTTTCCACCAAATCTGACGTGATAGGCAATGCACGTGGGAACAAATAAGCATTCCTGGCCAAATCATTCTGCGAACACCGATGCCCCTGTCTGCATTTTGGGTGAAGAAACATGAGGCACAAGTGCAACAAGCAGTCAGTGCAAACATCATTTTGCTCACTGGTGTACTGGAAAAAAAGAGAACCTCTAAGTGAACATCGAACGCAGCGCCACCAACACGTCCCTTGTTGAGTGCTTGTACCAAATCCACTTCACTGACAACTCCTGCCCTCGCCATATTGACAATTTTCACACCTTTACGACATCTCGCAAGTGTTGACGAGCAAACAAGATTTCTTGTGCGTGGCGTCAGCGGGACATGTATGACAATGTAGTCTGCTTGAGGCCATAACTGATCAAGAGGCACCCATTTTATTGAATGCTTCGTTGCATCCTGACAATAGACAGTCCACTTAGATGATCCTTTCATATTTCATTAATAAAAAAAACCTCTCATCACTTTCATTTTATAGTCTGCTCAGCGTTCTGCCAGTTCTACTATGCAAGTAATAATGCTCTGAATTGCAATCTTGCGGCAAAACTCTACTGCGGCTAATCTAAGACTGGTGCACTCAGCCATAAACTGTTCCTACTGCAGGGCAGCTCCCTCGCCGCACAACAATTACGCTGAAGCGAGTACGTGTTGCTGCTAACAGTAGTTACAATCGGACACAGCTCGGTACGACTCCTCGGTTTCACACGGCAGAGAACTAAGCCGGATGATTATTCGGCTTTGACAAATGGGGAGCGAATAGAACTTCCTGTGATTCAGACAGAGAGAGAGAGTGAAAGAAGCAAATTTTTCTGAAAGTGAGCGAGCCAAGTGAAAATTTCGCTTGTCTTCCTGAAAAAAACAGAACTCCACTAAATAATCAAGCACCTGTATGGGCCGTTCTCTATCGACCGTCCATCCCCAGAGCGGTTTCTCAGTATGAACAGGGAAAGAAGGGGCTCACTACAGAAAATACTGCTGGGAGTAATGACCGGTCGAGAATGACTTACTGCTGGGAGTAATGACCTACTTCGACTTCCCAAATTTGAATATTTGATTTAATTTGCATTTCAATGAAAAGGCCAAAAGTGAATATGGAATGCTTCACTTGAATGCTTACATGAGGTTACGTGGATCCGACTCAAAAGCAAGCAAAATGCCGAACTGTCAGCTGCACCGATAGCGAGAAAGAATGCGTAGCAAAACAGCAACCAGTCAAAGCAACAAAGCATGTAGTAAAAATAACCAGTCTACAACAGTCTGCTGGAAGATTCTGCGCTACAGACGCAATCAAGCCGTACGCTCCGGAGCAATAAAAGGGTAGCATTTCATGAGGAGAGAATCGTGCCGGGAATGATACTTAAGAAAGACAAATAAATAACGACGCGCACAAGAGCAGTCGGTGCCATCATGCATTTTGCGCAGTTCCGTCCAGCGGACGTTTGCTTACTAAAAATATAACTATTTTACACTTCCGCACGTGGAAAAATAGTAGATATGCTGTCTGGCTTCTAAGGTGAGAAATTTCCCACTGAAAATTTCACGTGCCGGTACGTGAAAGGTGAATTTGAAAACATGAACGAGGGAACATCCTTCCAAATTTCAACCTTCTAGTTTTCCGGCTTCCGAGCTAGTGACTTCCGCATCAAAATTCTTAAGTGGTCGTACGTAAGAACTCTGCATAATTCAAGGCTAAATTTGAGTTTGTGAGGCAGAAAAAATCCTCCTGTAATTTCAGCTTCCTAACTTTCACGGTTCCCAGGATCATGATTTTACCCGCCAAAACTTTTACGGAGCCGTGCGTGCTACCTGCGGGCACGGGGAGTTTGGGTCTTATTTTCTTCTTATTTTCTAGGTTACACGTGGTCAAGGGAAACACCCATAATATTCAGCTCGCTAGCCTCGGTTGCTCCTGAGGTAATGATTTTACCCGCCAAAATTTTTACGGGGCCGTACGTGTTACTCGCGGGTTGGAGAAGGTTCAGTTTAAATTTTCTGGGTCGAACGCGAGCAGGCGGAATGCCTATAAAATTTCAGCTCCGTAGTTTCCATGGTTCCAGAGTTGAAAGTGCGGGCACACACACACACACACACACACACACACACACACACACAC